AAACTATGAAAATAGATTTGTGAAACCTACTTAACTTATTATATTTTTGTTATAATTTTTTTTATTGCATTGAGCCCGTCTGACCTCATAAAATTAAATATTGAGATGGTGAACGAAAAATTGCAGTTGCACAAAAGGCGGCCTGTAACTTTTGATAGATGCAAGATATAAAAGAAAGTTATTTGGAAAAAGTGCTGAAGATGAAAAGCTCTTTCAATATCTGTGGTATGCTGTTGAGAAAAAAATTCCGGTGTTACGACTATGGTTTTGTTATCTACCTTGACTTCAAATCCCAGTCAGCCTAGGGTCTCAGTCAGCCATGACGAACTGGCAACATCGAAAAAAGAAAAACTCGTTTATCCCACTTTTTTATCTAGATCTTGAACTTCCGCAAACTAATAGTCCAGGCAAGTTAGACCAAAATCACCCAGAATACGGCAATTTTTTTCTGATGAACCGATCGAGTTGCGGTTTTCGGCATTGTCTTCGGAAAAATATCAGGAAAAAAGTCTATATATTACACTTTGGGGCTGGATCGAAACTACATTGCGGGTGCATAAAGTGCATCTTGGAGTGTATCAATTTTTCCAAAGGACCCCGCACAAATCTTATGGAAATTGGGTCCCGGTCAAATTCGCTGAATTTTTGATATGTGATAGAGTTCATCATACGGGTCAATTGTCTCAATGGCTACAAAGTTCAAAAATGGATAGTTTGGCCGGTACAGAGCTTTAAAGCTCCGAATATCCTCCACGGATTTATGTATATGCGCAGTGTGTATAGACTTTTGAAATAGCCTATTTCATTTTTTTTATTATCTAGGTTTATATTTTTGAGGTTGCTGAATTCAGATCTGTTGTTAGATTTTCAAAATTGACAGTTGGCAGCTGTCAAATAGCTGTCAATGTGCTATAATAAAGCCAAAAACTTGTTTTTTTATGTTTTATGTTGTTATGCCAAACTATCCATTTTTGAGCTTTGTGACCATTGAGACAATTGACCAGTATGATGAACTCTATCACATATCAAAAATTCAGCGAATTTGACCGGGACCCAATTTCCATAAGATTTGTGCGGGGTCCTTTTCTAAAAATGGTAAAAATTGACTAAAAGTTGTAGAAATTTGTGTGCACGGATTTTTTGACCCTGAAAAATATACCCAACGGCCCTGGGGCCCCCCAGGGGGGCAAGCGGGGGGTCTTCTGTAAAACATCGAATAGCTGAGTAATTGCCTTCTAAATCCCCACCCGGGGGTTTTGGGGTCGGGGATTTGGTCTTAATAAATTTAAGATTTTGCTAGGTAAAAATGCCGTATGTGCAGTTTGTGCTACATTTTCAACAGAAATTAATAGAAGAACCAGAATATGTACGTCCTATACATGATAGTTTGGATGTTTTTACAGGGTATTTTACAATTTTTAATATATTGTGTTGCAAATAATATTTAATTGTTGTTTAATTTAAAACAACGCATGCAAACATATACAAATTTGATTTGTTAAAAACATCGCATTTCAACGCTTCTGCTACAGAAGAAAGCCGTATGTGGTCACATTCGGCGATTATATTTTGTACCTCTTAATGAAATATATGTACATAAGTCTGCTAAGTGACAGAATATTAGAAATTTATAATGTACAAATTTTTAAATTTAAAGAAACAAAAATGATATTTTTGATATTTATAGATGGGTATATAATGCGATATAGATTTCAAAAATGTAATTATCTCAATTTATCACAAAACTGCATATACGGTCTTTTTCCGAAGTAGGGCAGTATAGTATAATTAAAGTAACATACAAGAAGACAAAACTATTAGTTACATATAAAATTTCACTTTGTAAACACTTTTTTTCTCAAAAATAAACAAACGAATCAAGGAATTTGTTTGAATGATACAAAGATCTGCCGATTTTAATCTTTTCTTTCGCTCGATTGATCGATGCTATCACAGAGGAACGGGATGCGCATGCAAACCAAACGGGGCGCTCGCGCGCGCCATGCGCTATGTCGCTAAACGGACGTGTTCTATTCAAAAATTTCCCGCGCGGGAATTACCGCACAAATGCGGGAATTCCGCAGGTCTCATTGACATTCGGGAAATTGCTGGAATGCTGTAACGCGGAATGCGGGATTGCAAACCCTACACCGAATAGCTGAGTAATTGCCTTCTAAATTTCTACTCGGGGGTTTTCGGGGATTCCGAATCTGACACTGGAAAATATCCATTAATATTAGCTTGTCTAACACTGAGAAAAATTGTCGTAGAATTGGAGAAATCCTGGACCATTCGTTCCCAAGAGACACATTTCGTTAAATCAAAGAAATATTCCTTAAAACCGAAGAATATTTCATGGATCATGGATTTTCAAAAGAATCTCTTGGGCCCGTGCGACTGCGGTTAATGCATAACAATTCCCGACAAAATCCGATTATCGACAATGCAGATCTTGTGAGTGCAGGAAGCATGGAATTACATGCACAACTGTTCCAATCCTGAAATAGTCGAAAATGTAATATAGATGATAGTGATGGAGACACTGAAGATGAAAATTGTGATTGATAGTGAAAGTGTTAGATAAACATATGATAGTAGTTGTCTCACTAATTGCCTTACAAATAAAAAGGAAATTGGTTCTCAGAATAAAGTGGATTCTTTTCGACTCATTAATTTCCTGTTAGTTTTTCTTACCCTTCTTGTCTAATCGCTGTAAATTTGCGTGTGTTACAATGTAAAGATAAGCCTACAAGATCATGGTTGGTAAGCGGATGGAGCAGTTTTATTGCAAAAGTCTGCCTTTCGATGTTTTCCAGAAAGCCCACCCCACGGGCGTCGTGCACACTTTTTAGTGTCAGAATCGGAATTCCCAACCCCAAAAACCCCGAGTGGAAATTTAAAAGGCAATTACTCAGCTATTCGATGTTTTACAGAAGCCCCCCCTTGCCCCCACTGGGGGCTCCAGGGGCGTCGGGCATACTTATCAGTGTCAGAATTGAAATCCCCGACCCCAAAAACCCCCGAGTGGGGATTTAAAAGGCAATTACTCAGCTATTCGGTGTTTTACAGAAGGCCCCCCCCCTTGCCCCCTGGGGAGCCCCAGGACATACGTTTCACTGTCAGAATCGAAATCCCTGACCCCAAAAACCCCCGAGTGGGGATTTAGAAGGCAATTACTCAGCTATTCGATGTTTTACAGAAGGCCCCCCTTGCCCCCTGGGGGGCCCTGGAGCGTCGGACATATGTTTCAGGGTCAGACTCGGAATCTCCGACCCCGAAAACCTAATTTCTACAACTTTTAGTCAATTTTTACCATTTTTAGAAAATTCGGAAAAATTGATGCACTTAATGCACCCGCAATGCAGTTTCGATCCAGCCCCAAAGTGTAATAGATAGACTTTTTTTCCTGATATTTTTCCGAAGACAATGTCAAAAACCGCAACTCGATCGGTTCATCAGAAAAAAATTGCTGATTTATTGTCTAACTTGCCTGGTCTATAATGGGACATAGTGCATACATACTCCAGACTTACTCTGTTTTCACAAAAACAAAACCTATAAAATAAGAATATAGGAAAATAAATTACTTCATTTTTCACTAACAATTTAGCTTGAAATAACAATAAAAGACAAACGTTTCCGCAATGAAAATTAAATATACATATACGGTGTCCTATTTTAAATAACGCATTGCAATATCTTATTAGGGAAACCCTTTCAAGAAAAACTTTTTAGATAAAAGTTGTAGGGTTCTGAGAGGGACATCCGCTGGTGACATTGACCTTGACCCAAAGCTCAATCGTAGAGGTCATTTGAAGATGAACTTGGATTTTTAGATAAGTTAAATATATTTCTGATACCGGAAATTTATAAAGAGGAAAATTTTACGTTCAGATATTTTTTTATGTCAAAGTGACTCCAGCAGGTAATTTTAAGGTCAAATAATGTTCTGAATAAGAATTCGCGTTATTTTTCGAGAAAGACTTATGACGAAGGATTCCAAGTATTATAGTTTGATGGAATCATACGATGATAACCTCGACCATGACCTAGAGCTCAAGCTTGAAGGTTCTTTGAAGGTCAAATTAAGTTACCTATGAAATAGGAGAATCATTTTTGCAGCCTCATTAAATTAAATTAAGATGGCTGTGACCCAGACAGTTTAGGCAAGGTCGTTTTGACCCGGCCAATCAAGGCAAGGTCCCTATGACTCAGCCAGCCGGGTGGAAGTAATCTTGCCTTGACTGATCGGGTCATAGTAACCTTGCCTAGACTGTCTGGGTCATAGCGATTTTGCCTTTAGTGGCTGGATCATAGCGATCTTGCCTTGACTTAATGGGGCTGCAGCGTTCTCCTATCTCGTAACTTGATTTTACCCTCAATGAACCAAAGTTTGATCTTTAGTTCATAGTCAAGGTCATCATAGTATGATCCCGTCAAAGCATAAAACTTTTAACTAGAATCCTCCGTAGGTGCTTTCCCGAAAATTATCGTAAAATCTTATTCAGAACTTTGTCCCATAATATAAAGACATATCTGACCGTAAAATATATCTGAAAATTCAAATTGAGCTTCAGATGACCTCTGCGGTTAACCTTTGGGTCAAGATCAAGGTCATCATCAAACGTCCCCCTCAGAACCCTACAATTTTTGTCTAAATTAATGTAAAACTGACTTAACAAATTGTTCTGTTTGTTACAAAAAAACAGGACAAAAAAAAGAGAACGGCCCGCTGTCTGCGATCACAACTATTAAACTATTTTTATGTAGGAGACGATTCCAGAGGTCCTCAATACGTTAACACCCATTTCAATTATTATTAATTTTAAGCACCGTTTTGCAGTTTCAACGCCTTTAAATGCATTCTACTCACCATCAAAACCCCTAAATTGTCAGTTTCATTAAGAAACGGCATATACTAACATGTTTTTTTGCAATGACCTATTTTTGCATTTAATTCCGTTAAAAGTTCTAAATAAACCATCTGACGGTAAAAATAGTTTAAGGATCGACACCGGCTACGTGAGCGCCGAAAGTTCCATTGACAGCGAAGACGAGAAGGAAGCCACACACATCTTGGAACCACCTCACACGGGATGTTCTATAAATGGACCGAGAAAGTGCCTGACGTGGGCCTGCAAGGCATGCAAGAAAAAAACCGTAGCGATCGACAGAAGGAAGGCCGCCACTTTGAGGGAACGAAGGAGGCTGCGAAAGGTACGGTAGTTACGTCGTTTTTGCACTGCACGAACTAAAACTTCTATAACTGTTTTTATTTTCGAGAACTAAAGTGCAACTTTATATATCCGATTGATTTTCAATTTGCATATTGCACTTTATGGATTAAAAGTGCTGTTTTTACTTGATTTTAAGGGTACAAAAGTGCAATTGTTAATTTCGGGTGAAATCAACTAAAAATGTAATTTTAATTTTTACTATCCAGATTAGATTTATTTTTTGGACTGGAGTTGATTGAAAGTGCTGTTTTAATCTTTATTTTTATGAAGTAAAGTGTAATTTTTAATATTTTTGCACTTCGGGGATTAAAAGTACTGTTTAACGTTTTTAGGAATTTAAGTCACTTTTAGTCACTTTTAAGCTTCCGAGTGTTGAGGGTGATTATAAAATCCACTTTAGTGTATTGACTAAATATGCTATTTTTTATTTAAGTTCAATGAATAAACTTATCTTCTATATTTCGAGAATTTAAAGTGTTTCTGTCACTATTACTAAAGTGTCACTTTTAATATTCGAAGGTTTAAGTTTATCTTTTGGACTTTGTGGGTTAAAAGTACTATTTTAACACTGTCTCACGAGTGTAACTCCTTTCTAATTCCCTGGAATTGAATTTTGAGGGTGATTTTCAATAAAATTAAAGCAATAAGATCAATATTACATTAAAACGCAATATTTTGTTTCATTGCCTATCATTGGTGTAATTTTTCAGGAGATTCTATTCCACCAATCAACGGTAGCATTCTCTCGAGCGTAGACGTGACCATTTGTCATTGTTCGCTGTAAACGAATCATTAACATTGGTAACGTTTAGATTTTTAGTTGGCAGTGCCAGCCGTACAATATTGGTTGCCTAAGCTCGGTGGTCACGTGGCTTGTAATCATTTATGAAGCCTCTGTATATAGGAACTAATTGAGAATAAATACTATATCTAGTTATTCGTACCACAAGCTGTAAAAGGTAGAAAAATAAAACTAAACTGTCTATTAATTACTTAAATGATTGCTGTCTTCGACTAATCCTCAAGCTACAAACCTCAGAATTATCTCTCCACAAATTGAAACTTGCTCTTTTCGAAAGTGTTTCATTTTACTGTGTTAGTTTTGCACTTTATGGATTAAAAGTAGGTACTGTTTTAAAGTGGTGTTAAGTTAAGGGTGCAATCACTTTTAATTCCCTGAGATTCAATTCTTCGTCATGATTAAAAGATCCACCTTAGTTCATAGCCTGACAATGTTATTTTAGTTTTGTTCTAACTAAACTTCTTTACATTTCATGTATTTAAAATTTTGCTTTAATAATTATTTTCGGGTTACACGGGGACGCTGTTAATGTCTGGAAACTAAATGAGACAAATACTGTTGTTTTATTGTTTTATCTCAGAATTAGCTCCGCGGAAAAAAAATTGTTCCTTTAGAAAACTAAAGAATCATTTTTAATATCGAAGAGATTAAGTTTACCTCTCGAACTATATTAAAAGAGATCTTTGAACTTTATTCTAGGAGTGAAAATCACTCTTGGAACTGAGATTGTAAGAGCGCAGAATTAAATTTCATTTAATTAGTTGCCTTCAATTGGCCCTCAAGCAAGAAACTTCGGGATAAAAAATTGCAAACACAAACGAGTTAGTATAGTAGTTTTACAGAGATATTATACAGTGTCTCAGAAATAAGTAACAAAATTTTAGGTACATATTTAACTGATTAAAAACATCAACTTTTATCTAATAAATTTTTTCGAAGACACGTTTTTTATACTACATTTTATACTCATTAGAATAACACTAACGAGCTGCCTATCGATTAAAGAAATATTTACGTGTTTATTACATATGGTCTCTAAGAATTAAGTAACAGAATTTTAGGTACATATTCAAAAGCAACAAATATTGTCTAATATTTTTGGTTTTTGGTCAACTTTTTGTACTCATTAGAATAACACTAAAGAGCTATCTATGGTTAAAGAAATATTTAAGTAACGGATATGAATGTTTTATGGATTGATTAACTATCTTAACTCTTTCGACTTAGGCTTCTTAAAATTTAAGAGATTTTCTAAAATAATTTTAAACAAAAGTGGTAACTACGGGGTTAAAATTTTAGCACTTATTTCTGGAACACCCTGTATAAGTATAATATAAAAATCTGACATTTCTGTCTTATATCAAATCAAAATTAGTGAAAATTGTATCTTTTAATCTCGAGAGTCATTCAGTTCATCCTCGATATTAAAAGATACATTTTAGTCCCTTGGCACGTAATATGTAGGTACATATACGATTTAAGTCAGTTCTGATATTAGGAGACAATAATCTTGCCAATGGTTGCAAAAACAAAATTTTTAACAGTAATTGTAAAATTTAGACGCTTTAAAATTAAACATATCTATTGATAGAGATAATTAGTTTTTCTGTCCTTATCATTTTGTATCACAATTATTTTAAATGCTAATAAACTATAGATTGGTGGAAAAGAACTTTTTAAATAAGTTCTAACTAAGACATCTCTTGTCGTCACAAAGAAATGGTACTAACGAGGATACAAGTACATTTTAATAACGCCAGTTAATTTAAAATGTATGCTAGCCCGAAATGTGTCGTTTCATATTTATGATCTGCATTAGTTCCTGACAGAAAATGTTAATACTTAATTTATTAAATGAGAAATAGAAATGCTTAGCGTGTTACTTCAATCCGAATAAAATATGGGACAGTTGTCAGCATCCCATTCAAACGATAAATCATCACAGCATTGTTTCATACGCGCTAAAAAAACAAACAACGTGTTAATAATTTGTGTTATTATTGTTTGTATTTGAATTAAAGGTTGTATATCCATGGCTTTGGGAAGATATAGGGTTTACACATGATTTACATACAAAATGTTTTCTACTACCGAATCGCATTAAAATAGTGTATTGTGGTACAGGTATGTTGGCCCCCCCATTAATTGTTTGGTTTTTAGAGTTATAAAAAATGTGAAATACAAAAGGTACACGATTTTTGTAAAGTTTTCAAAAATGATAGCAGAAAAACAAATGACGTCCAAACAAAATGGCTGCGGGTGTTTACTTTGTCAATTTAAATTAAATACCCTGTATATTTTTATATATTTGGATAGAACGTTCTCTGTAGAGCATAGTCATAGAGGGTTTGTTGGGTCCAGCTCTAATAATAAGCGAGATCCTATTAAAAAACGAAAAGAAGGTTTTTTATTAAGAAAATCAGATATCTTGTAATTGTTAGACCTCTTCCAGGCTTTTCTGCCTTTTTTCCAATTACGTAAGAATTTACAGATTTTAACTAAATTTCACTAATTAGACCGTGAGAGGTTTGGACAATGTTATATGGTAGGCCGCGACAGTGACAGGTAATGCCATAGCAACATTGTTATTGTTTGACAGTTTGTGTTATTAATTAATTAAAATGTTAATTAAATTCTAGTACTAGTATAATAGTTTTTCCATTTTAGGATGATTTAATATTTGGTGTTGCTGGTGCCTGTCACCGTGATGAACTGTATCAATTAAATTTGAATGATATTCAGCATCAAAGCTTTTGATCAAAATACCGGATAATAAAACAAGAAAACCGAGATCATAAAGGAAACTTAACATATATGCCACTGTTTAGAAAATATGTTGCATGTCAGCCAGAAAATTTTGAAAGTAGCAGCTTTTTTTTTTAAATATTCAAATGGAAAAGGTTGCAGGCGAGCAATAGGAATACATTAGTTTGGCAACATGTCTGAAATTGTCGCAAAATTTGTAATTTGCCAAATGCAGATAAATACACATTGTTTAATTAATGCTGTGGTAGATTTAATTGCATTAAAAGATAAGGGGGATGAAAATCTTGGTTGCCGAAGGATATATAAAGGAATCTTTTAGAAATAAACTAGGCATAACAGATAAAATATCTAGAGGGGTGAGATAAATAGTTATCTTCTTCTTCTTGCTTTCCTAGTGGTTGGTTCTGATAAGTCCCATGGCACCGCGGCCTAATTAGGCCTATTGTGCATCCCACTACTAGTCCTATTCATCAAGTAGTTTTGACCTTTTAACAAAATCCAAGAGCTTCCTTGCTGACACTTCTCTCAGTTCCTTGCGTTCCAAATAGAGTCCACGAGCGTCATTCTACTACGTGCAAATCTCGAGCACTCGCTTAGGATATGCAGAGAAGTTTCATCAGTCGATTCACATCCTCGGCAGACCGGACTGTCTACAAGCTTTAGCTTATGTAGAAGTTTCCTAAAGTGACAGTATCCCGTTATGAGTCCCGTCACTCTTCTGAGCCGGATTTTATTAGCTGAGTAAATCGTTTGCTCTTTCCTTCAAAGGATACTGCATAAGCTCCTTAGAATGGCTATGTCCTGGCCTTGAAGTCCAGTATTTCCTATATTCTGTCTCGGTCCATTTACCCAAAGCCCCCCTAAATAGTTATAATAAACGTTTAATATGTGGCATACGTTCAATAAATATTATATTTACTAAATATTGCATTTTTGATGTGAGTTGGTTTACCTGCTTGTAATTAAGAAAAATTACTGTATAAAATATGGATAAAAAATGGTACGGAAAAGTTAACTTTGGGTATTTTATGGTCTGAAATTGGACCGAAAAAGTAGATACACATTTCCTAACGATTTCAAAAAGCATAAATTATAAATAATTTACATTTCGCACTGATGCGAGCGGTATGTCAATTTTGTTAAATTGTATTTTCATTGTTAATAAACCAAATCTGATACATCCTTTATATATTTTGTTGCAGGTAAACGAGGCTTTCGAAATGTTGAAGAAGAGAACGTGCAATAATCCTGGCCAAAGGTTGCCGAAAGTGGAGATATTAAGAAGTGCCATAGAATACATAGAATATTTAGAAGAAATTTTACAAGGTTCCAAAAGTTCCGTGGAGGCCAATGGGACGATGTCGACTAAAAACGAATACGTAGTAAGTTTTTTACACCATACTTTTGCCTTATTGAATTATTATTATTTTGAAATTTGAAGTTGATCGACTGAAAGGAATGAGTTCATGCAACACTAAATAATAAAAAAAACAATTTATTTTGTAGCGTGTAAAGTAATTATTTATCCGGATATATTGCAAGGATAACTGTTAAACCCTGCCTATTTATAAAAAGTACGTGTGACAGGAAATATATGAATTTTCAGGTCAGTCAAACATGGATTAAAATGACTTATTGGGAGGGCTTTTCAAGCACATGTAGACGAAACATTTTCAAACATTTTTTTTTTTATAAATAAATACGCTAATGGGTACAGTTTAAGGTTATATTTACATGTTTTCAATATACGTGATAGACTTATGTTTTCCGTAGAGTAAAATATAAACTTACAGTTCATAAAATGCACATAAAAAAGTTCGTGAATTATAAATAAGGATAACAGGATAAGTTTACAAGCGCATAGTTACATCTATGTATGTATGTGGTCATAATAAATTAAACGTTGTGTTAGCCAATTATTTTTCAAGTCTCAATAAAACTGATAGTTCAGTGTTATTAAAAATGAAGCGCTACACGAAAGAACAACGCGTTTTCATTGATGAGTAATATTTTACAAAATAATGAAGACTTGTCAGCTACAGTTCGCAAATTTCGTACAAAATTTGGTCGGGATCTCATCAACTGCGAAGGGATTAATTGAAAAATTCAGAAATATTGGATCAATTAGTGATTTTAAACACTCCGGCCGTCCTTCAACAAATCTTTCAACACAAAACGTCGAAGCAGTTCGTGAGAGTGTTGCTGAGAGTATAGGAACATTAATTTGGCACCGTGGTCAGGAATTGGACATTTCGAGAAGCTCTCTACAGCGCATTCTCACGAAAGATTTGCATCTGCATGCTTACAAAATTCAATTGACTCAAGAACTGAAGCCTAGTGATCGCGCAGAGCAAAGAGAGTTTTTCGAACAAAATATCTTCAGCGATGAGGCTCATTTTCAACTTTATGGCATCGTTAATTGACAAAATTGTCACATTTGAGGTTCAGAAAATCCACGAGTGATTGTTGACAAACAAAAGCATCCATAACGTGTCACTGTTTGGTGCTCGCTATCTCGACATGATAATCCAGTTTTTTGTGCCTAAATTGCAAAATATGGACAACATGGGGTTAAGATGTTTTATTTTTTTGCATCAAAACGGCGCCCCATACGAAGAAAAGGCAAGAGAGATTTTTTGTCACAAATTGAACGAGGAATTCAAAAATGATTTTAATTTGTAATAACTCAGTGGCGTACCATTTTTTCCTTATAAAATTGAGATTATTACCCGTACGCGCACCAATGATGAACATAAAATTCTTAATTGCGTGTCAAAAAATGAGCACTAACTACCTCTCAAAATCGACCAAATTTCATTTGCACATCTCGATCGGTTTCAGAGCAATAAATTAAATCGTCAGTTTATAAGAAAAACTTTGACACCCCGTATCTCGGAAAACAAATCATTTGCGGATATACGTTTATAAGCAAATTGCCATTATTTTCACATGTAGTGTATGTGTTACTGACACCCTGTAAGTATTAAAATTAATTCTAAAACTATTTCCAAAAAAGAAAAGCATGGGAAATTTAAATCCTTTTGTGATTCCTAATATATCTCATCATCTCTATTTCTCTTTATCTCCTGTCAATATTTAATTTGATTGTTTAATATTCACGCACAACATAATTCAATCACACACTTTAATAACACGCTTTATTTATTCTTACCAGTAAACTGGAAAAGCACCATATTCTAAACCGAAATTTACTAAATGTGTAAAAATAAAGGAATTATGTGTGGGGATTTGTAAACGTACGTATGATGTGTATATGGGACATAATTTTATAAAAGTACTAGTAATATTAAATCCATTAGATACAACTGCCTTGAATTATTTCAGCAATCAGTCATCATTTACAGCAGAAAACGTAAAATTATTCAGAATATTGTGTATTGTGAGATTTGTAAAGATTTATCAATTATCTTTGATATAAATGACAATTTTTTGAGTTGAAGAAGAAACGAATTTAATTGGTTCAAATTTCCGAATTTCGTCAAAGACTTTCTTAGATATTTTTTTAAAAAGTTCAGAATACAAAATTTGGGAATTTAGTGGTTTTAGATCTTTCATTTGAAATAATCTGGTGAAGTTACGACATAGGCTTAGCAAATACCCTGTACATACATATATTTGTCGCGTGTTTATAATTAATAGCAAGCATAAATTTCGATGAAGTGCCCGCGGCACGTCCACAAATTTTTTATAATTGACACCCAACAAATACGCTCTTTGATTCTTTTGAAGTTCGATAATTAAACCATATTAAATGTATCAGCTCCCCGAATAGATAAAAGCACTCGAAAATAAACGGCGAAACAAAAAAAGAGACAGTTAAGATGCGGTTTTTATACTGTCGTTATTAAAGTTGGTATAAAGATTTATAACTCGCCGGGACCATATGGGCCCAGCATGTGGAGAGAAATTGTACACCATTAGGAACTTTTTAACGCTTTCACATTTAATTTTTTTTAGTACGGATAACGTTATATAACAATCCCCCGCTGATAGTGATACAATTTGATACACTCGAATAGTATCGTAGGAAATGTTTTTCGAATTGTTACACGCATATGAGCCGAAAGAAGGAAAGAAATAAGCACCACAACAGGCACAACCAAAGTAGAATTCACACGAAATATCACGTCATTGACATTGAGAATGAAGTGAATACGAGAGTTTTAAATTTCCGACATGTTTGAAACTTAAAAAAAAAAAAAATAATTTCTCTAAAACAACATATTAAATGAAGTCAATGTTCCTCCAAACCAGAAATCTAGCTATACAAAGGATATACTGCTCTGTCCGGAATTTGTCAATAAAACACCATATATCCAATTAATCATTAAAATGTATTTTGTCTCCTTCAAAATAGGCTCCAGTAAAAAAAAAACTTAAAACACACCACAGAAATGAGACAACCCCCAAATTCAAAGCCAGAGGCTGTGCGTAAGGGGGCTACACTTTAAAAAACGCGGACAAACGCCAATTATCCATCGACATTGTCAGTGCCGACGCCAGGGATCGAAGCCGGATCAGAATAGGAAGTCTGGCCGAGAAATGCTTGCCATTGCACTCTCGATCGACTACGCTACCATGGCGGTCACTACGCTACCGTGGCGATTTGAAGCCATACATTTTTTCCAATAAACGTCGAACCACTTTTTAAACGCATATTCCGTTTTTTTAAAATCCATATTCCAGTATGGGCTTCAACTCCTTCAGCGATTTTTGTGTTTTGTGGCTTCTATTGACTTGAAACGTGTTCCACTAAGTGATAATTTGATTTTGGGAAAAGGAAAAAGTCGACAGGGGTCATATCCGGCGAATACGGTGGCTACTCGTTGACATTTCTTGAGTTTTTTGGTCAAAAATTAATTCACAGTCATTATGTGGTGCAAAATCCAAGAAATGTCCTTACCATAAATCTGGCATTTTGCGGCGAATATTCTCTCTCAAATGCTCATAATGCCCAGATAATATTCTTTGTTGACTGTTTTTCCATCCGGAAGGAATTATGTGTGGAGAACATCGCGATAATCAAAGAAAACAGTAAACATGACTTTGATTTTTGATCAACTTTGATGTGTTTTTTTTTTTGGTTTTGGCTCATTAGCAATACGCCATTCTGAAATTTGTTGACTCGTTTGTACGTCACACTCGTAAACCCATCTCTCGTCACCCATTATGATGCGTTGTATGAATGTAGAGTCCGAATTTGCTCGTTCAAGCATGTCTTCGGCAACATGTTTGCGATCCTCTTTTCGAAGAGAATTCAGCTCTTTTGTAACAAGACGTGCTGCGACGCGTTTCATACCCAAAACACCAACAAATGGTGAGATATATTTAGTTCATATGCCAGCTCTCTCAAATCACCGCTTTTCGACTGCAGATAAGGAATGATGTTTCTATTACTCGTTTTTCCTTTTGTAACAAACAATCTCCATTTCCTTGATATTTTGATGAAACTGTTAATCCTCTTCCTCGCTGTAGTCTCCGAGATTCTCTGGAAAGTAGTCAAGATGAGAGTCTAGGAAATACAGTTTCAAGTTCACCGGTCAATCCAACTGTTTGAACATTTCCAACAATTCTTCAACTAAATTCTGGTAATCCTCACTCTTTTGACTCCCCAAGAAATTTTGAGCGATTTTCTTGAAACTTAGTCAAACTGCTGTTTTCATTTCATATACTAGATAAGTATTTTTAACATTACAATACATATTAAAGCTTCATTAATTTTCTGATAGCTTTTTACTTTCGATACTGTATTTATGTGTCTAGAGTCTAGGGTACAAGCTGCTAGTTCGCTACTCACAAGTCTCGCCAGCTGTTTGACAAACGAATTCGATTTCAGCACTTCAAAATACATACAGATATGGTCCTGCAGTACCTTCCATTCTCTTTTTTCAATTGGAATTTTTCGTATTTATGGGCGGTTTTTCGGCGATTTGAAAACAGCTGGAGATGATGGAGCAATATCAAATTTGGATTCGGATTAAGCGCATATAAATATGGTCCTGCAATCATTTTCAGTCGGTTTCTACAACATAATGATGATCCGTCCCAAAATGAGATTTTCCGTGTTTCTTCCGTGGCTTCTTCTAGTGGCGTGCGATAGGTGTCGTTTCACCTTTTATCCCCCCTAAATTGTGCGGCACTGTACAAATATTAGTTTTTCGTATGTTTTTGAATTTGCTAGTATTTTTTACGTAAATAATGTATACTTGTTAGACTTCCATAAAATGAGTAATTATCAAGTTATTAACATTTACATTACTGAGGTCACCTTATGCTCCAAAAACNAAACAATCTCCATTTCCTTGATATTTTGATGAAACTGTTAATCCTCTTCCTCGCTGTAGTATCCGAGATTCTCTGG